AGGATGTGGCAGGGGGGCTGTACTTGCCAGTGGTTGGGAGTGAGGGCTTTGATCCTGGGAGCCCCAAGCTCAGGGCCTGGGAGCCCAGAACTTCCCAGAGCGCCATCAGGCTGACAAGGCTGCATGAGATGGAGAGCTACGTGCCCTACGAGGAAGGAAGGCAGCCAGCTGGCTTCAAAGCCTCTTCGGGCCCCCTACCCCCGCCAGAGCCTGGCTGAGGACAGAGCTCGTGGGAAATACCAGGGCTGCCAGGAGCTCTTTGCCTTTGTTTATAAGACAAAGCTGGGCCTCCCTGAGGACCTGGCTTCCTGGTCCCCTCCCTGGAGCGCCTTCCCTGCCCACCCCCTCCCCTGGGCCAGGCAGGTCCGAGTCCTCCTCTGCTTCCCCACGGAGGCCTTCTGGGACAGCTCCATTGGGGTGGCCATCTGTAGCAAATAAAAACACATGACACCCAATTAAATTCGAATTTCAGGTTTTAGAAAATCAGTTACTTTTTAGTGTGGGTGTATCTCCTGGGGTATCTGGGGTAAACTAAAATTCTTCTGTCCCAGACATGAAGTCCAAACTTGAGAGGGTGTCCTGCCTTCCACCGGGTACCTCTCACCCTTTGGCTCCCGTACAGCACTGGTCACTCTCTGACCTCGTGTCCAGCCTGTGCTGCCACTTGCTGGCCTCTGCTTGCACAAGCTGCACTCAGCAGGTGCCCCTAATTAGCTGTGGGCAGTGAACACTCGGGACCCTCACTCCCTGGCCACTGAGGCCTGCATCCTCTCTGGAAGGGGCCCAGAGTAGGAGCCTAACAGCCACCTTCCTCAAACTGCAGGGCCCACCTGTGCAGCTCTGCTCTGTGTGAAGGGAGGGGGCCTCTTTTGTTCTCATTGCTCTTGCAGGAAAAGCGAGCCTCCTCCCAGCAGTCCTCAGGCCTGTCCCCACTGACCCTGTGGTTTTAAGCCGCCCAGTCTGTGAGGCCTCGCCCAGGAGCTCCTACAAACTCCAACACTGGAGTTGGCAGGAGGGACGGTGGGGTGGTGGGCCGCTGGGACCAGGCAGTGAGCTGCGGAGGCCACAGGTGCGGTGAGCGCACCCGGCAGGCACAGCTGCCATGCAGTGAGGGATTTACAGAAGCAGCCACCTTCCCTGCACTGGCCTCTTGTCAGCCCACTGATCCGTCCCCAGAGAAGTGACAGGCGCATCCTCACCATGGGTGCTAAGATTTCCTGGCTGGCCACATGTCATCGCCCAGTTTGGTAATGTCTTTGTCACAGTGGGATAATAGGAGGGTTTTTATTCTAAAGTTCATTAAATCTACAAGAAGAAACGTTGTGAGGATAATAACAACCCTCCCAGATGCCCAGCTGGGAACCTTTGCACACATTTACTCCTCTCTCTCCCCGTACATTTTCTTCCAGACCATTTGGAAGTGAGTTGCAGGCATGCACCTTCAACCTAAGACAGAAAGGACCCAAGCTGAGCAGCAAAGGATTGCTGCCGAGGAAAAGTTGTTCCCACACCCTGGAGGCCCCCATGCCCCACCGCAGCCCCCCTGGGATCTTTTCTTCCCATCCCAGGTCCAGCTCAGCCCCATTCGGCATGTGACTGTCCTGTGACTTCTGTGTCCCTTGGTGAAGGAGAGACCCCCAGACTGGCCATTCCTCCACATTATCTGCAATCTCATCAAAATATCCATTTTCTTAGCAGGTGTGGTGGTTCCCTGGCCCGAGTCCCCACCCTGGCTCCCCCACTGCTCAGGGACGGGTGGTGTCCCCACAGCATCCCCATCACAGGGCCGTGGTGTCTGCACACACAAGTGAGTGTACAGGGCAAATGGTGCCCCCTGAAGTCATGCCTCAGAGTGTGACCTGATTTGGAAAGAGGGTTGCTGCTGTGGTCAAATGAGGTCAAAATGAGGTCACGCTGGGGCTCAGGGGTGCCTGTAGACTGGTGTCCTCATGAAAGGGAAGTTCAGACACACACACCTCAGAGGCAGAGATCCGAGGGAGGCACGTGGGGGGAGGAAGCCCTGTGTCCCAGAGCCATCTGCTTGCTGTGTTTCGTCTCAGCTGCCCCAGGACACTTACTCAGTGTCCTAGATAATCCCTCCACTCGAGGCCCTCAGAGACCAGTGCAGCCACCCAGCCCCTCTGATGTCCCACGTACTCCATCACAGGGCACCCAGGGAGGGTAGCCTGCTCATTCCCGCTGCTAGCTCGCACTGTCCCTTTAAGCCCACAGCCCCACTCACTTCAGGGTGGGTGGAACCAGCGGGAAGAACAGCTGGGAAGGAAGATAAGCTTTTTGCTGTTGGGAGGCTTCTGCCCTCCCAACTCAGAACTCCGGCCAGACCCCTGATCCCCATGCAGTGGGAGCCACCCACAATCCTGCCGCTGCTAAGGGGACATCACCTTCATCCTTGGGGGGCCGGGAGGAAGCTGCTTGGCGCCTCCTGGCCAACTCCTCATGTCCCCCTGCCTCTATATCTGGTGTCACTGCAATATATCAAAGGAAAAAAAACCCCCCAGCTTCCTGCAAAGTATGTGGGAGGCCACAGCACTCCTGTGAGTGTGACAGCGACAGTCACCAAGGCCTCAGTGAAGGAAAGCAGCAGCCAGACACAGGCCGTGGCCGGGTGCTCACAGCGGCCACAAAGCAGAGACACTCCCGGGTGTCCACCAGCAGGTGCAAGTGGTGCGACCACACACGGAGCATCACTTAGCCAAGGAGTGGAGTCCTGCCACATGCTCTATGTGCACAGACGCCGAACCCATGGTGCTCAGTGAGATACCAGACACAGAAGGCCACATAGTGTGCGACCACATTTCTGTGGAAAGTCCACAGCAGGAGAATCCACAGACAAAACGTGGGCTTGTGGGTCCCGGGGAAGGGTTGGGGTGACTGCTCATGGGGATAGGGCTTCTTTTTGGGAGATGGAATGTTCTGAAACTGGATAGAGGTGGTGGTTACACGACTGTGAATGCTCTACAAATGAGTGAATTATATACTCTTTAAAAGGGTGAATTGTGTGGCACATGAATTACATCTCAGTGAAAATGTTACCCCTGAAAAAGCAGAAGATTCTGGGGTGGTTGTGTTCACATCCACCTGCCCCCCCAGTGCCAGGCATGCTGGTCACACTGCTGGCAGCCCAGCCCAACCCACCGCTTGCCTGCTGCTGGGCTCCCCCAAAACCCCAGAAATACAGCCTCTGTTTTGTAAGTGGGGACCAGGCTTGCCTGAGGTCAGACAGCTGGCATGGGGCACAAGTGGGGTCAGAACCCTGGTGGGCTTGCACGGTTTCCTTATGACAGTTTGTGATCCTCTGAGACATGGCCAGTCCCTCGCTGCCTACCCAGCAAGGGAGTCATCCCCTGTGGCATCAGGCCTGACAGGGGACCACGAAGGATGGGTGATTTTCCTGACATAGGACTTGGTAGTGGCCACAGTACCTTGGTGAAGTGACCTCGGTAGTTTGGAGCTAAAGGACTGGACTCCAGCCACCTGCCCTTTGCTGCACCCCAAGGGCCCCCTGGAGTCCTTCTGCCAGAGGCGACAGCACAGGCCATCCTGTGGGCTCACTGGAGGGCCTGATCATTCCTGGAGGCCAGAGGCTAATGGGGCAGAGAACACCCCCTCCCCCACCCCCACCCCCACCCTAGCCTTTCATTCCCTCCCCCTTTCTTCCTCCTTGCCCCCCCCAACTCCCAGCACCTCTGCACAGGCCATTTCCATATCTTGATCATCTTTGATGCTAGAGTTCAAACTCCAGCTCTGTGGCTCCCCGGCTGGTGATGGCGGGCAAGTTACTGAACTTCTCTGTGCCTCAGCTTCCACATGAGACTGGGCTAATGCTAATACCAACCCCCGGGGCCCCCAGTTGGAGAGCTGCCCTGGGGGCTTGTGAGTTGCCACAGGCTGAAGGCCTCCTGCCAGGCTGCCCAGCTTCCCCATGGTGCTCTCTCCAGGGGGCCGACCGGACACAACCATTACTGCCCATCCAGGCATCCGGCACAGAGTCAAGCTCCCAAAGTGCCCTGGCCTGCTGCCACCCTAGGGCCCAGCCCCAGCCAACCACGCTGTTCCTGCCTAGTGCCTTGGGCAGGGTGGGGGTCTCTGTGGTCCAGCTACAGGTGACAGGAAGGGGCAGAAGTTGGGGGGCAGTGGGATGGGAAGGTTGGGGAAGGGGTGCTGGGAAAGGGGCAGAGGGCCCAGTGCGTGAGCTCTTTCCTTCTGTCTGCTCCCCGGCAGCGTGAGGCCACTGCAGACTGGGTGCCGGCTTGCATTTGGAGGGCTGACATGGAAGGTAAGGCTGGCATCTCTAAGCACATGGACCCCGGACCAGCCTCAGCAGCTGGGGTGGTGGGACGAGGGTATGGGGGGGCCGTGGCAAGGTGTCTACTCACTGTCCACTCCCAGCCTCTACAGCCTCCAGCAGGTCCTCCCCACTCCTCCCTCCTCAATCTGCCTCCTCTGGGAAGCCAACCCTTCTTCCACCCCCGCCCGATCCCTGAATGTGTCCAAAAATGCCAACCCCAGCGGGCTTGCCTCTGCAGGGGCCCGAGCCCTGACCAGTGCACGTCATGCCTCACCGGTGATTCGTTGGGAGGCTGGCATGCGACCTAAGCTGAAACCCCCAACTTGGCCCAAACTAGAGAGAATGAGCTTTTCCTCTGGACACAAGCGGGCCCACCCTGCCGCGTGGGAACCCTCCTGATGATGCAGCCACGGGGCAGGGGGGCCCTGAGGCAGGCAGGCCCCTGGGCCGGGGGTGGCTGTCACTGCGCCTGGGAGCTTGTCCCCCAGCAGTGGCAGGGTGGACACCCGGCAAGGTCCAGGGGCCACCAGAGCAGCCGGCCCAGAAGTGCGAGTGAGCAAAGCCCAGCCCAGTGGGGGGAGGGGCCAGAGGGGCAGCACAGGCCTGACTCCACTCACACCCAGCAGAGCACCCGGCCTGCACACACCCTGCACTGCCAGCCTCCAGGTTTAAGAAAAGGCAGAAATTAAGATTGGGTGAAACCTTCCACGTTTAATGTAGGAAAATCATTCACGCTAAAGAAAACACAAAGGAAACTGCAGGCGCCAACCATCGAGGCTGTGTCTGTGGAGGCAGGCTGCTGGGGTCTGCCTGGTGCCCCTGGTGCAATCATCCAGGCTCCAGCATCAGTGACCCGTCAGGCCAGCCGGGTGCCCCGAGTAGGGCCTTCGTTCCCAGGATGCCGATGAGCTGGACCCGGCCACTTCAGTCACACAAAACAGAGCCACAGAGGCCTGGGCCATGGTGTGGGGGCGGGGGGCCTCGGGCCTGCAGCAGCAGTGTCCCCACCCTGCACCCGGCATGCTTCACACCTGCAGGCAGCGGGGCAGGGCCTCTCTGGGCAAGGGTTCAGGACCCTCAGGGAACCCGCATCCTCAGCCTTAACACCCACCCGCAGGCTGTTGGGGCGATGCTGAAAAAAGCGGTTTTCTGCCCTGCAGCCCTTCTAAGGTCAGCTGGCCCCAGGAAGGAGTCCCCTGGGGAGCTGTCAGGGAGCCCCCAGGCACGAGGGGGTGGCTGCTGACCCTCCTGAGCCCTGGTCACACAGGTCACACGCAAGGGGCGGCTGCAGGCATCCAGGGCCTGCCCCCTGGGACCATCACTCTCTTGACCTCCTAAGGCAGGCCAACGAGAGGTTAGCTCTCTGGCTTCTCATAAAGTCATTTTATTTAAATCTCAAACAAACCAAGGCAGAGGGACGAGGTGACCATCCACTCCCAAGCTGGGCGCCCCGAGACTCTGCTTCTGCAGCAGGAGCTGCAGATGGGGGTCTGGGCCCCGCAGGCCACCGCAGCCCAGGCCTGACCCTGCAGGCCCCCAGCACTGCGGCCCTTCTTGAGGCACAGCCCAGAATGCACGGGAAAGGAAAGCGACGCCCAGACGAGACACCGAGGGGCCGGCAGCACAGACCTCTGGTGAGGTAGACGGTGGCACAGCCGGGCTGGTGAGGTAAAATCTGTAAGTTTATTCATGGGGCCACTGCGCTGTCAGGACTCCTCATTGCCCGAGTCGTCGTCGTCCCCGAAGCAGCTGTCGGCCTCAGCCTCGCCGTCCTCGTAGTAGTAGTCATAGAACAGGTCTGAGCCCTCGTCGGGCACCGGGGCCTTGGTCTTCACGCAATACTCAGCCAGCGTGGTGGGCACCTTCACGCCGTCCCGCTCTGCGTCCACCTTGGTCCCCAGGACCTGTTTCCTGGCAGGACATGGGCAGGGGTCAGTGCCTATCAGTGCCATCTTGCCAGGACCCACAGCCTGGTGGCCACATACACAGACAGCATCAACCAGGTGGATGCCACCAGAAGGGGCCCACACCACCGGGCACCCTGGAGCCCTGCTGGGGCAGAGCCTGCAGCCCAACTACATGACAACCCCCGGTGGCCCATGGCTGACTCTGCCCTGATTGTCACACTTGTGAGGACAAGGAGAGCTGTTTTCAGTGCCTGGCTGGCCCAGTGCCTGCTACACTGAGGGATGGACAGGCCGGGGGTGGAGGGCCCATGCCAACCTCACCCCATGCCCTCCTGTCCGTGGTGGAGGATCTCTGAGACGAAGGAGACCGGGGCAGGGCCCTGTGTGACCCCCGAGGAGAAGGTCCTGGTGGGCACTGTTGCCAGCTCAGCTGCTGTGGACTGCGACACTTGGCCACCCAGTGTCCCAGCACCGATTCCAGCCCAGCCAGGACCTTGGAGGACCAAGCTGCAGACCCACGCCCTGAGCCAGCCAGTGGCACCACGTGTTCTGCTGAGCCAGCAGGAAGGGGCGGCCACCACAGCCTTGCCACATGGGCACACACTGCCAGCCCACAGGGAGTCTGAGGGATAAAAATAGTCTGGTTTTATTTCTGTGCCACATGGAAGGCAGCTGGGAAAAAATGGGACAAGGAGCAGGCGGGACCCTCCCCTGCTGAAGGGTGCCTGGGGGCCTGCTGCGCGGGAGGTGTTTGAGGAGCACGAGTGTCACCGTCCCCACAGGGTGCACATTTCCACAAATGGCAAACTGTGACCAAGGGCACGAGCTGTGGCTGCCACTGGCTGAGGGGACAGAGATGGCAGGAAAGGGCCGCCCTGCACACTCATGGGTCCCCTCACAGCTGAGTGTGTGGGTGAAATGCACACGGATTACATGTGCAATGCTGCACAAGTCACTTAGAAAATTCTGTTTCATAAGCCACAGAATGTCCAGCCAGACTTGTGGGAAAGACGACAGTCTTCCCCGGGAAAGTGAACAGATTCCACACCACAGACCAAAGACCTGAGACACGAGGCAGTCCACCGCACAAAACCCCCACCTCCACCTGCTTGTGCACGGGCTGGAAGGACAGACACACTGAAACTGACCAGGTGTTAGGGTTGAGGTTCTCTTTATGTTCCTATTTGCACTTCAGTGTTTCTCTTCCATGAACATATTGCCTTCTTACTGCACAAATTGTGTGTCTGCAGCTTTAGTGACATGAACTGCAACAACTCCAAGTGTCCATGCGGTCCTGCGAAACCAGGCCCACAAACAAGAACACGAACGTGCCACCACAGTCCCCGGGGTCCCCATCCTCCCTGACAGCTGCTGCCGTGCCTCCCGGGGCTGTGTGGTAGGCCATGGCTTGCTCAGTCCTCCCCTGTGGACGTACATTTGGGTCACTGCCAGCTGTTGGCAAACCCAAGCTGTCTCAAACATCCCCATGGGTGCTGGTGTGAATGCTCGCCTCCCATTTCTCCTGGACAAACACTCAGGCCTCCGGTGGTGGGTCCTGTCTAAGGTAGGTGTGTGTCTTGACTTATTTCCTATTCTGATTAAATGCTAAGTGACAAAGTGAAAGACTATTTGGAAACAATCTAATGAAGAGTTTCCTGAATTAAGTCAGAAAACCTACATGGAGAAGTGCCAGTGCACACAGACGCAGAGCAGCCCACAGAGCTCAGCAGAACTGAATTAGACCGACAAGGGAGAAGGGCTGGCGGCTCCGGGCCTGAGCGGAGCCCTGCACACCAAGGCTCTTGCTGGTTCGGCCCCTGCACTCCAGGCACCCATTCGTGGAAAGACCCCTTTGCAAAGACATTAACCTATTTACCCGCGAGGTGGTCTCACTGGAAACAACTAAAGTGCAGGGAAGGCTACTGGCAAATCCCTACATAACCTGCTGTTTGTAACAGAAAATAAATACCCTTTAGGAAAGAAGGATATTTTTGTAAATACACTAACACAGTCATCACCTGCCTTTGGAAATAGATTCCAAGTGTCAAGATTACAAATGCAAGCGATGTTCACAGCACCAAATCCTCAACACCAGAAGAAAGCGTCACAAGGAGCGTGGTCTCAGCAGCTACCAGGACGTGCTCCTCAAGAGCACACACACTCATCTGGGAGCGGAAGGACCCCGAGCACCAGCCACGGACACACAAGTTTGGCCAAAACATGCAGGAGGCCTCTGCTCAGGACAGACTGCCCAGGGCAGGGAGAGAGGCGAGACCCCTGCGGAGCTGGGCTGCACACGTGCGGCCATATCAAGCATGCAGACGGCACGTTTGTGTGATGGGGACGTCTCCCGGAGGAGAGAAAGGGAGCACCCAGCTTTCTGAAACAAGGAGCAGACCGACCTAGCAGGAAAGCGCCGGGCCCGGGCCGCGTCTGAGCCCCGCTCACCGGATGATATCTGTGTACTCCCGGTCTTTGCCTTTGCTCTCTTTCCACTTCCTGTACATCACGGAGGCGTCCACGTTGGCCGGGGAGAAGGTGTTGGGCTCGTTGAGGAGGGAGATGATGCTCAAGAGGATGGTCCTGGGGGAGCACAGGGTCGGTAGGCAGGGGTGTCTGCTGGCTGCACAGCCTGCCTGGCCACAGCTCCTGGAGGGCTCCTGGGGCCCCTGGTGAGAACTCAGATGCCCCCCCAAGACCCCAGGAGAGCTGAGGCTGAGCTCAGGGCTGCCCTCCTGCCAGCCTCCTCCGGCCTTTGCCACACGCCCAGCACCCAGGACAATATGTGTGGCTCCCTGGGCATCCTGCCTGGTGAGGGGGTCCCTCTGTGCCAACAACTTCTGTGGTTTGGGCTGGACAGGACACAGGCCGGGAGGCAGGGTGGTGTGTTCACCCGAATGGAGATGGTTGGGTCAGTGGGAGGTTGAGGATGGAGGGGAGAGCCCAGGGGCAGGCAGACATGGATATAGGATCCCCGGAGCTGTCCCCAATGGCATACAGGGTGGCTGGCATCAGGAAATGAGTGTGGGGAGAGGTGAGCAGACCAGCCTTGGGGATTCTGGGGCCCTCAGTGTACAGACGCCACAGCCCTGAGAACAGCAAAGGTTGCCTCCCAAAGTCCTGGTCCACAGGGTGGGCCAGGGTTGAGGACGACCTGCAGGAGTGAGGAGTTCAGGGATGGGGTGGGGTATCCATCTGTTGACTGGCCCCTAAATAAGGCTGGCCCAGCCTCACCTGACGTTCTGGGTGGGGTTCCACCGCTCTGAGGGCAGCTCCCCACTCTGAGGGTCGTCGACTGGGGGGTGGAGGATGGAGATGCACACATCCCCAGTCTGTGTGGGGACAGGAAGAAGGGAAGGTCAGTGCCCGCCAGGTCCTGCTGGGCTGCACAGTGCCTGCTCCGTCCCCCACCACCACACAGAGGCGGGGGGCAGGCTCACCTCATAGATGTTGGGGTGCCACATCTTGGTCAGGAACCGGAAGGCTGGCGGGGAGTAGGGGTAGTCAATAGGGAACTTGAGACGTGCCTGGGTGGAGGCAGAGAGCAAAGGGCTCAGCCAGGGCCGGCCCTCATCCGGAGTGATGTTTCCCCAAGCACCATGCATGGGGTTTAGGCTACAACACGGGACACTGCCCATGAGCACGTGAAGGGCGTCAGCCTGGGAATGCCTACTACATGAGGGCCACCCAGCACACAAGGGACCCCACCTGCCACCCTCGCTCCTCATAGGCCTGAGATCAGGTGCACAGTAGGCCACCTCAGGCTTTTTTGGGGTCATCTGAGCTGACCCCAGCCCTGACCCTGCTGCCAGGGGGCAGGGGCACCATCAGGAGCAGCTCCAAGCTCACTGGCCACCCAGGCCCATGGGAGGGATCAGTCTGGGCCCCAGGAGCTGTGTGCCCCAAGCATGTGATGGACCCCCAGGCCTCAGTTTCCAGGTTGCAGGAGGACTAAAATACATGTGTGTTCACTCAGCAATCATTCCCAACACCTCCGTGGGCCGGGCATCGGGAGATGAGTCAGCGCTGGGTGGACAAGCTCACTGCCTGCAAGTGTCATAGGGAGGTCAAGAAGGAGGCAGGAAGGTCACGGGGCGGCTGGGGGAGGGCCACCTGCCCTGGTGGCAGGTAAGGAAGCTCTGATTGCTTGTTTACGCCCCAGTCCCAGGCACTGGGACACCTGGTCCTGGAGGTGCTTGCATGCAGCTCTCAAGGGTGAGCCAGGGTGCTGAGAGCCATGGCAGGGCACCTCTCCCGCAGATGCCCCCGGGGCCTACCTCTAGAGAGAGGCCCTTCTGGGCAGGGCACTTGGGGGAGCCTCAGGCTAAGGCCTGGAAGAAAAAGAATTTGCTGGCGACTGCGGAGCAAGCCTGGAGCTTGTGTCTCAGAACCTGCCCTGTGGACCCCCCAGGTCCTGGAAATGCTGAGGCCTCCCCTGCAGCAAGCAGCCACCCAGTCCTCATTCAAGGCGTTCCAGGAAATGCCTTCAATGCTGAGCCAACTGCAGCCCAGAGAAGGAAAGCCTCTTGCCTAAGGGCACACAGCAAGCAAGCTGTGCAGGAGACTTCAGCTGGCGTCTCTTGAGTGCCTCACAGAGGAGGCGGGGGCGGCTGGAGCTACAGGAAGGAGCTTTGGAAGGATGGAGACTGCCTGCACCTCCCGGCCCTGGTTTCCACACTTTCTAAGGAAGAGAGTCTTCCCCACTACCCACCCAACTGCACCCAACAGGACAGGGGTGGGGGCAGCCCACCCTGGCTTCTCTGAGGACACAGATCCTGTGGCCGATGGGATGGATATGTGGCAGTGCCCTGGCCCCAAAGCACTCTCTGGAGAAATGAGATGATCCCCCAGTGCCAGCCTGAGAGGCTCTACCCACACCCAGTTAGTGGGCAAAGCCAGAAACCCCACATCCTTCCCACATCCTAGCCTGCAGCCTAGCCCAGGCACAGAGGAAGAGTCCTGGCCAGGCCTCAGGTTGGGCCTCCTTCGTGGGTCTGAGCAGAACTGCCGGCCCCCGAGCAGACAAGGTTGGAGGAGGAGGCTGGTTAAATCGCTGATGGATCAGCCCCAAATCCACTCCCTGCATGGTGAGGCTGGGTTCCAGACCCAGAATGCAGTCCAAGCTATCCATGCTTGACCCTCCTCCCCACCCCAGCAAGGAGGGAACGACTCAAGATCACCCCCAGCAGGCCAAGCTGCTCCCTCACAGCCACAGAGTAGGTGCGGTGAAAACAGCAGCCCAAAGTGCAAACACAGATGTCAGGTGCGTGGCCTGCCCCACCCCTCCGCCTCCCCTGCAGCCTGACCTGGCCGTGGTTTCTGCTCTCCACCCAGGCCTCCCGGCCAGGCAGGAACTGGGAGCAGCGTGCCAGGCAAGCTGTGACAGGGTTCCTGGGCTGAGGGTTCATTCCCTGTGTCTGCACAGGGGACCCCTCGTCTTGTCCCCCGGGCCCCAGGAGCAAAGTCCCCATGACCTGGGAGGTCCTTCCAATGCTGTGTCTGGACTCAGTTCAAGACACAGAGAAAGCTGCCGACCTTGTGGCCCAAGTCCTTTATCACAGCAGTCAGAAACAGCCAGTCACAGGGAAGGCACTAGCCCCCCTGCTCCCAAAAACCACAAAACGGAACTGCTGGGATTAAACCACAACGAGGGCAAAAGAGATGACCCAGAGCGTGAGACCTGGGCCCCCAGAGGCCACCTGCTCGGCGGAATCTGAGAAAGGGCAGCTGCGGCCACTGGGAGCCCCAACCCCAGAGGCCGCGCCACCCTCCCTCCCCGGGTGCTCTCCGCAGCGTGGCTCCCAGGGACAGGGAGGAGAATGGAGGGAATGCTCCACTCCACCTTTCCAGAGAACAGGTTACGTAAAGCTCGGGACGAAGCCGAGAGAACCTGGCCCACTGCTATCGGCAAGGGTGGCAGCTTTCCAAGCAGGCCCCAGCTGCCAAAGGCCCCATGCGGGCCTTTGTTGGAACCCGCGCCAGTGGCCAGGCCAGCACCCCCGGGTCGGAGTCGCTCCCTCCCTCACCCGCCCCGCGCTCCCCAACAGGACCGCTGGTTCTGGGGAGGCCTCTCTGTGTTCTCCGCGTAGGAGGCGGGAAAGAGCCGAATCGGGGTCTGCCGGTCCCAGAGAGAGGGGCCGCCGGGCCGGGCCCCGAGGGCGGGAGCGGGCGCCCACCCAAGGATCGGCGGGGCCCGGGCGCCGGCCCGAGGCTCACCTTGAAGTAGCCGCCCTCGTAGAAGGTGTTGGGGGGTCCGAAGATGGCCACCTCCCAGTTGTACAGGTCGCCCTCGTCCACCAGGGTCACACGGAAGCCCTCCACCGGCTCCTCCTGCAGCCCCTTGAGCTCGAGCAGCAGTGCCTTCTGTGAACTGGGTACCAGCGGCCGGGCCATGGCGGCGGCGGCGGCGGGGCCCAGAGTCGGAGACGCGGTGGCCGGGCCGGGCCGCGCGCCGGCCAGGGGGACGCCGCCGGGGCTGCCGCCTTCCTCCTGTACGCCGCCGGCGCCGCCCCCTCCCGGGACCTCCGAGCGTTCCACTACCTCTGGGGCTGCCGCCCTCTCGGCGCTCTCCTCGGCCCGGCCGGCGCGCTCCGCCCCGAGCTGCGCCTGCGTGCCGCCGCCGGCCCCCTGACCGCGCCTGCGCCTCGGGGCCCTGCCCTGACTGCGCCTGCGCCCCCACCAGCGGGGCACGCTGGGAAGCAGAGTTCCCTCCCTGGGCCGCCTAGCGGGGAGGCGCAACAGCCGGGAGGAAGTGGGTGCCGAACGCGCAGGCGCCGTAGCGCTTCCGAGCCCTTGCGAGGCCGCTGTCGCCCCCGCGGTAGCCGGACTGTCCTGGACTTCTGTGCGCCGGGAGGCGGGAAGGGCTGGGCTGTGCCTCCCCGTGCAGCCCGACTGGCTTGGTGTCTTTTTTGTGACGTCCCACCGCGGGCGGGGATAGGGCGGGGAATTGGGGGCGGGGGCACGGCGGGGAGGGCGGGGAGCGGGCGGTGGACCCCCCTCGGATGCTCCCCAGCCCCGAGACTCCCCACGAGTCTCCTTACCCCAGAGGTTTCCCTCTCCCAGGGTTCTACTCTAGATGCCCAGTAGGCTCTGCCACCATTTCTCCGCCCCGGAGGCTCCCCCCACCCAGCCTTCCCACCCGGAGGCCCGGCGCTGGCGGAGCAAACTGGCCTGGGCGGGCTCTGCCTCAGTTTCCCGACAGCGGACTGCAGGTGGGCCCGAGCTGGGGGCCGCTCAACCCTGGAGGCCTGGCGAGGTGTCTCACTGGGTGGTGGGCTCGGCGGACTGGAGTGTGGAGATGGTCAAGCTCCGCTCCCCCACAAGCAGGGTATGACCCATCACCCGCTTCGTTGTTCGTTTGGTGGCACCGATCGGCACCCATCCTGGCTGAACCCCCAGGCTGGGCCCAAATCCCAGGCTGACCTTTGACTCCGTGGGAGCCCTGACGTGGCTGAGTCCCAGGCCCATATACCCACACACACACCTTGCGGGACACTTGGTCAGGAGAGCTGGGTGTCCTGCCCTGGCCTCCATCCTCCGTCTTAAGGGACAGCTCCCAGGAGGGTGGGGGCTCCGCGGTGGCGCTCAGGCTGTGCCTGCCACCTTGCTGGAAGGTGTCGGTGGCTGGGCAGAGATGATGCTCTCTTCCAGGTGTCCCAAAACCTGGCCCCTGACCTCCTTCCAGCTGAGGACAGGCAGATGAACCTGTCTGGGTGACACAAAGCAAGATTTTGGGGAGGGACTGTGAAGTCTGAGAAGAAGCCCTGGACAGAGGGCAGCTTCATACAGCTGCCCAAGGCTGGGCCTTGGCTTTCCGTAAAGGGGGCTTTGGGCTTCAACTCTGCCCTCTCCTGGGATCCTAAACGAGCCCCTCATTAGTAAAATGGGCTCTGTGCCTTTGCCAAGTGTTCCGAGTATGTCTCACCCTCATTCTTTGCCTGTAGCACCAATGTCATAGTGTTGGCATGTGGCGGCTGCCTGACCAATAGTAATTAGAATTAGTCATGATTCTTCTATGGAGGATCCATGAGTTCTCCCTACACATAACTCACATCCTCAGGAAGTACTGAGTGGATGGGGGCAGTCCTGGAAATGTGAAGAGGGGTACTGGGTTCACGGCCCCTCCCACTGGTCCCACTGAGGGCCTTGTCCCCCAGGAAAGCCTGCTTCTCTAGCTCTGAGGCATCCCAGAGTGGTGGTCATCCGGGGTTTCCACCTGCCTGTTTTCTGGCCACAGCCCCTTGATTTTCCCTTGGGGCCTCCCCACTCTTAGTCTGTAAGGTTTGAATTGGACTGATCCTCAAGCCCTAGCGGCATGGCTGGGTCATCCAATCAGAGCACTCCAGGCCCCTTGGCTGCAATCGTTGGTTCAGGAGCAGCCTCTGACTCAGCCATCCAATGAGATGCAGCCCTGGGACTTTGTCTGGAACACAGTGCTGGGGTGAGGAGGCTGGAAGGACCTGGATCTGGAGTTAATGGGACCATCACAGCACCCAGGGAAGGAGGAATTGTGTACCAAGTAAGCACTCGGGGATAAGAAAGTGCTGATAACCCTGTTTGTGCTCCTGGATCCAGCCATGCCTGCCCTCCCCCAATGTTCCAGTGATGCAAGCCAGTAAACTACTTCTTATTAAGCCAGTTTGAGTTGGGCCTTCCATCATGTACCACAGAAGAGCCCTGCATTCATCTGCCATGACCTTAGAAATGGTTCTTAAATGCTAAACCAAGTCTCAATTTCTTTTTCTGTGAATTAGGAATTGTGGCCACCCCATGGGAGAGGGACATGGGGTTGGAGGACAAAGGCTGCTTCAGGGCCAGCTCTGCCTCATCCCGGTGGCTGTGCCATCTGGAGCCAGTTAGTGCAGCAGCACCCCACAGCCTGGTAATGTTCCAGCTCACGTGCATGTGCAGATGAGATCAAGAATCTTGAGATGGGGACGCGACACAGGTGTCCCCGTGGGGTAGAGAAGGCCATGGGACCGTAGAGGCAGAGGCCAGAGGGATGCACTCTGAAGGTGGAGGAACAGGACTGAGCCCAGGAATGTGGGTGGCCTCCAGAAGCTGGACAAGGCAACAAGACGGATTTTCTGGAGGGAACCAGCCCTGCCCACACCTGGATTGCAGGACTTCTGACGTCCAGAACTGTAAGATAATAAGCTGGTGTTGCTACTGACTTTGTGGCAGTTTGTTGCAACAGTCAAAGGAATCAAATGTGCTTGCCTCTATGCTTCCTTTGGGAAATTAATTAATGAATGATCTTCCACACACAAATCTAGGCACTGGGGATAGAGCAGTGAACAAAACTAGCAAAATCCCTGCCATCAGGGAGCCAGGGAAAAAGGCCATAAGCCGGCTGGTAAATGAATAAGCAATTTCTGATATCAATATTTGCTGTGAAGAAAAATAGAGCATGGTGAGGCATTAGCAGTAGTGTAGTACAGGGGGGTTCCTTTGAGGAGGGGGTCAGGAGGTATCTCTCAGGAGGTGGCACATGAACAGAGACCAGAATGGGGTAAGGAAGTGAGTCACATGGGTCTGGAGGAACAGTGTCAAAGGCAGAGGGAACAGCACATACAGAGGCCCTGAGGTAGGGACGATCTGGCCCTGCTGGAAACCAGTATACTTAGGGCACAGTGAGGGGACAGAGGCCAGAGAAGAGGCTTCCTGAGAGCTGGCTTTGTTCACAGGCCTTGAGGTGACCCCATGGCCCCAGAATCCAGGCCCAGGCCCTCGCCACCCAGCCACCCCATGTGCCAGGGCTGCACCTCCTCAGCCAACCAGGAGTCACAAGCTGTTCCTCAAACATCACTGAGGCCAGGGAACCTGGAGCACCCCAATTGGCTGGTGGAGTCGCCCATGGGTGAGGATGTGGGCTGGACTGGGCAAGAGGGAGCAGGTGGGTGAAGTTATCATGCATACCCAACAGGATGCAGAGAAGGGCAGGCTGAGGGGTGGGAGAAGTACCCAGGTCTACCCCTGACCTGGGCAGGCTTGGGGCTTCCAGAAACTGCAAACTCCAGAGGAGCCCCTGGGCTGGGGAGGCCAACCAGAGGCTCTGTCCTGGACATGGCAGGTCTGGGATGTCCTTACAATGGCCCCCCGGGGACACTCAGCAGGCAGCTGTCTCTCAAGGGCTGGAGCCGAGCAGGGCTGGGGCTGGAGATGTGTACTGGAGAATCCTTGGTGACCAAGCAGTAATTGAAGCCATGGCTGGTGAGAAGCCAAGTGAGGCGGATGTGAGGGGAGGAAGGCCCTGCCAGCCGGTAGCACACCTTCTCCAGGGAAGATGGGCAAAGAGGAGGGGCATTCTGGGGGCTGCAGAGGGACCACCATGCGGCAGGGCCATGTAGAAGGCAGAGGCGGGGAGGTTCCCAGCGTTCTGGGGCCACACTGCTGTAACTTTGTGTAAGGAGAACATGTCAGCTTCCCAGGGTTTGTGCTGGCCAGCAGCGGTCACGCCAGGATGATGACAAAACAGCACTTTTGACCCAAGACCAGGCCTGACAGCAACTCAGGAGGCAGTGAGGGAAGCTGGGCAGGGAGGTGGTCCTGGCTGGAGGTGGCTTCAACCTGATGTGGGGGTGGGTGCCTGGAGTGCCAGCTGCCACCGGGGTGAACTCCAGCTGATGTAAGGCGGACAGCTTTTGTACCCCCGGTCACTGCTCATTGGCAACTCCTGACCCAGGAGCGATGGAGCCCCTTGTGCCATGCGGCTCTTTTTCCATAGAAGGGCAGCTGGAAGGGGACAGGGCGGGAACTCTAGGGAACCAGAGAGCTGACCAGAGGTGGCCTGGGTCCACACGTTCACTAGGAACCACCATGCCCTGTGTCCCATCCTGGCCTCCAGGGGCCCAGTGGCAGCTAGATCACGAACACTTGTGGTGGACTGCTCAGGTGAGGGCATGTTGTGGCTGCCACTGAGTGATCCACTCTGGCTTCATCTTACCTATTGCTGTATGACAAATTACTCCAAAACTTCAAGTATAAAACACTAATAATTTAGGTCATGAATCTGCCAGTTGGCTGGGTGTCCTCATGGCATGGCCATTGGTGTCCTCTGTGTGTGTGTGTGTGGGGGGTCACCTTTTGTGACATAGCCATGGAAATCATGCAGTGTCACAAAAGCCACCCAAGTTCAAGGAGAGGGGATGCAGATTCCACCAATGATCTGCCTCTTGAGGGGCTGTGGGGAGGTTCTGGAAGAGCATGTGGGGACGGACATGGCCATGGTTGTGTTTGGCAAGTGGGCACTTGAGCATGATTCAGTGGTTCTTTGGTTTGCTAACTGCCTGCCCTGTGCCCAGAGTAGGTGCTGGGAGGGGGGAACTGGCGAAAGGGTTAAACAACTTTCCCATAGGATCTTCCTCCATCAGAACAAGGAACAGGGCTGAGCGGGGAGTGAAGTCACTTGCCGGCACATCAGAATCTGATCCGGGATTGGCTCCTCCGCTCCCTACAGAATTTGCCTCCACGTAGTTCCCTTGGAGGTGGAGGGGCACCCAGGGGGTGCTCATGACTAGTGGGGACTAATCCCACAGGCACGTGTATCCTCCAGGGGGTGCAGTGCAGGGTGTGGGGCCTGGGTTCATGCCCCTGCTCAGCCCCTCGCTGGTGGGACCTTTCACTTCTCTGGGCCTCCGTTTCCCCATTTGCCATCTGGGTAGGAATTCACCTTCCTCCTGGGCAGTGGTGGGTCAAGGACACTACAGATCCTGACCTGTTACCTATTTCCACCACCACTGTCACCATTATCGGCCCAGCTGACCTCTTCCTCTGACAGCTGGGGAAACGAGGCCCAGGAAGGAACTTTGGGCTGGGCATGCATGGAGAGCGCAGCTGGAGGCAGTGCCCACCTGCAGCCGTCAGGCAGAGCCTCGTGCGTCTGGGGGCCAAGTCCAGGGCACCTAGGGGCCTCCGCCCCTTCAGAGTCCTGCTGTCCAGGTGTTCCCAGACTGCAAGCACTGCTCTGGACAGCAGGGGCACGCGGCTGGCCTGAGCGAAGGGTGTCTGTGGACAGTTGGCTTGGGGCCCACAGGCACGCACACAACACACTGGGTGGGCCTTCGAATAGACTTTATTACCGTTAAAGAAAAGAACCTGTGTAGGCATGTGGGGAGGACTGCCCACTTCCCGGAATCCTCGACCTCCCCCAAGGGGCTGGGGCATCATTCCAGATCCGAAGCTGGCTGGGAAGGGCTCCTGGCACCCCCTGCATGCAGGGACACCCCGTCCTGGTCCCAGAGCCATCTTCCACCCACCGGTCCGGGCTGAGCAGGGGCAGCTGGGGCGGGGCTCAGCCCACCGGCTTGACCTTGGCGATGAAGAGGGCAGCGGCCTTCTCCAGGAACTCCTCCCGGGTCATGGGGGAGCTGGGCCGCGGCGCCACCAGGACGCGGTCCATGGCCAGCGCCAGGCTGTCGGGGCCCAGCCGCGAGCCGGCCTCCAGGTAGCGGGCAGGTGCGGCAGCGCCCTCGCTGGCCTGCAGGGCCGCCTCCAGGGTGTCCAGCACGGCCTGGCCCACGCGGCGGTCGGCCACGGCCCGGTCTGGGTCCTGAAGCAGCTGGTAGAGGGCCCCAGCACGCGCCACGAACTCCAGCAGCACGAAGCAGGTGAGCATGCCGGCGCGGAAGACGTCCAGCGGCACCGCCTCGTGGTCGCGGCACTGGATCTTGCGCAGCAGCGGCGCCACCACCTCCTCGGGGGCCTCCCCATCGCGGCAGATGCGCCTGAGCAGCTCGCTGTAGGTGCGCCCGTCCAGCCCCGGCTTCTTCCTGCGCCCGCCGGCGCTCAGGCACTGGTAGGCCACGCCCACGTTGTTGTTGAAGGCCGCCCTGCGGGGGGCGGGGGCGTGGGGCCGGCGGCGGAGCCCGCGCGCCCCCGTCCCCCCGACAGACCCACCCCCTCCGACACCCCCCATTCCCCGCCGGGGGCTCTTACCCCAGATCCCCCAGGGCTGCTCCCCTCCGAGTCCGCTCACACGTCACCTTCCCGGTGGCCCTCACCCCCTGGCCGGGCCTTCCTCCTGCTCCACACCAGCCACCGCGACCTGACCCTGTCGCCGGCAGCCCAGGAGCCCAGGTGGTCCGTGCAGGCCAGAGATTCAGCCCCAGTGCCTAGAACCCTGCCTGCGCTTGGCGGGCGCTAGCTAAGCGCCTGCTGAATGGACCGGGGCACCGCCCCACCTACCCTCCACGCTCTCCTGGTGCAACGCTGGCACTATGGGCCTGTCTGGTTCGCGGCCACACAGTCCCACAGCCCAGGAGCTAGCAAACTACCGCTGCAGGTCAAACTGCCTGCTCCCTGTTTTTGTGAATAAAGTTATGGGCACGTGCCTCATCCATCGACAGGCTGCCTGTGGCTGCTTTCTTGCTGCAAAGGCAGAGTCCACTGGTTGCAGCAGGAATTGGCCCCCAAAACTCAGCATACTACCTGTTTCTGGGCAGAACATCTGTGGATCCTGCTACTGGCTATGAGACAGCTCCTTTCCTGGGCCATTAGGATGAGCTGGAGATTAATGGTGGGGAGATCACCCCATGAGGTGCAGAGTGGTGCCAGGTTGAGCCCAAGGCTGCAGGAACAGCTGCTCCCACTGGTGTGGCTGTCACCCACAAAAGTTGGCTGCTGCCTCGTTAACCCTTTTTCAGAGTGTTTGTGATTAATTCTTTGCAGCAGGAAGAGTAAGTGTGGGGAGGCCTGGCAGGAACAGACGCTGCAGCCATTGGTGCCTGTATCAGTTATCTATTGCTGTGTAACAGATGACCCCCAAATGGCCTAAAAAGGCAATAAACATATATTATGTGTCAGGAACTCAGGAGTGACTTGGGCCTCTCCTGAGGTTGCTGCCAGGTGGCCAGCCACAGCCGTCCAAGGCTCAAGTGTGCAGGAAGCTCACCCCCACACCCTGGGCAGGAGGCCTCAGTCCCCACCCATACATCTAACGGAGGCTGCTCCCTAGAAGCCACTCTGCATCCTGGCTGTGACATCCAATGGAGATGCAAGCTGGCCCTGCTGGACGTGGGAGGCAGGGGCACAGGGCATGGATGCCAGGAGGTGAGGTCTCGGGTGTCCTGAAAGCTGGCGCCACCACTCTCTCCATTCCCTCTAGTGAGGATGGGCCATGTGCCTCGCTCCAGCCACTGAAGCGGGGGCACAACACGTGGTCCTCCTTGGGTGGAAGTTTTAAGAGCCACTGCAGCATCCCCTAGCCAGACCCTGTGGCCAAGACCAGGTGGGCCCTGCAGGGCAGAGTAGAGCCTGGTGACCCCACAGCATGTGAGAAACAAACTGTAGCTCTGCCGAGGCTGCTGAGGCTTGGGGTGTTGGTCACTGCATGGTGACACAGCTCATCCTGACCTAGTCTGGCTCTATGCCCTGACGACTCTCTTTGGCAACCTGGCTGACACCAATTCTCATGAGCTATTCACTCCTCCCCAGAGAAGGCATCTCCGGCTCCCAAGTGGTCCCTGAGCACCTTCTGTGTGCATGGCTGTTGCTGGCCGGGTCACTGTCTCCTGCTTTCCTTGTCTGTAGAGTGAGGGTCCTAACCCCTGCATCCAGGGGTTCTTGTGAGGACAGGATAGAAATCATGCCAAGAACTTGGGATGGAGTTGGCCTGTGGGAAGGGTCCTGTGTACACTTGCCATTAGCCAGACTCAGGGCCGCAGTGGGCTGTCCAGATGCTGTTTATCTTACACTCCTGCCTCGCGGGGCAGGAAGATGTGCAAAGGGGTCTTGTGACAGGTGACTGGGCAAGGAGCCAGGCAGGCCACACCAACCTCCAGGATGCCACCTCATGCCCCCCTCCCAGGCGGTCCCCAGCCATGAGGGGGCGCCACACCACCTGAATTGTGAGAGCATGAAGAGCTGGAGGCAGCCAGCAACACCGTGGAGCTCTGGGCCTCAGTTTCCCCATCTGTAAAGTGGGGCACTCACTTATGGAAGGCTCCACCTGTATCTGCTCCTACACAGAGCAGCTGGAAGATTGTTAGCATTTGTTAAAAAAAGAACATATCTCGGGAATGTCTCCAAGAGGCAACATGGAGACTTTCTACTTTAGATGAGGGGGTTCTGCCCCCAGGGGAAACTTCTGGTTGCCACACTGGGATGCTGTTCAGAGTGCCCCACCCCACAGAAGGAGCAGAGCCCTGGCCGAGATCCATTGGCATCTTTTGCAGGTTTTCCAGGTCACAGGGACCTGCAGGAGGTTGGCACTTGTGCTGTCACTACTAGCAAACCGGTGGCTTCGAAGGCCTCTGGGCCACCTGCCCAGATCTGACTTGGCCTCTGCCCTCAGTGCCCATGTGGCCCTCAGCAAGTCCTGTAAGACTGTGTGTATGCTTCTGGGGCCTTAGGCTAGCCGGGGGTGGCCGATGCCACCATCACCAGTCCTGGAGGCCAGCACTTCTAATTTCTCATATCAGCAGAAGGGACTTCGGTTGGCTTCTCCCCAAGTCGTCTGCTTCTGCACACTGGGAGGTTAAGGGGCTCCTGACAGCAGCTCATCCTCTGGGTTCAACACTGGCTGCATCTCTGGGGAGACCAGGCATGTGTGCCACCAGCACCTGCCACCCCTCTGCCCACTCCTCTCCCTCTGCACCCCTGTTGCTCCAGATTGCCTCTAGCCAACATCTCCAGTGCAGTACAGTGAATAGTGTACCCCCAAAATGCATGTCCATCTTGAACCTGTTAGTGTGATCTTATTTGGAAATAGGGTCTTTGCAGGTGTAATCAGTTCAGGATCTGGCAATGAGCTAACGTGGCTCTAAATCCAATGCCAAGTGTCCTTATAAGATAAAGGACAGAGAGGCATAAAGGAAGCCACGTGCAGAAGCAGATAGAGGGATGTGACCCTCAAGCCAAGGATCACCTGGCAGGCAGGAAGGACCCTCCCCTGGAGCCTCCAGAGAGAGCATGGCCCTGCTACACCTAGATTTTAGACTTCTGGCCTCCAGAGAAGGGAGAATGAACTTCTGTTGTTTTCAGCTGCCCAGTTTGCAGCAATTTGCAGAGCATCCCCAGGAGACCTGTATGGCTTCTTGGGCCCTAAATCTAACACATTCTTCAGCCCTAATCTATTGGGCCATACGGCATGGCCTTTAGCAGACAGGGCGCCCTTGTGTGAATTAGGAAAAGGCTCCACAAAAAGCCTTCCCATCAGTATCCTCATCTGTGGTTGTCCAAGGGGTGAATGTCTTGTGCAGTACTTGACCTGAACGACTGCACATGGTGGCCCTACCACTGACCACTCTTCCTCTTTGGAAGACGTCCCAGATGCCTCTCTTCTGGTTCCCTCCTTCCTGTTTGGTCTGCCTTCTCACGCTTTTTTGTGGGTTCTCTGAGGCTGGAGCTTCTGAGAGTTGGGTCCTAGGCTCTTCCTGGCCTCCTGGCGCCCTCCTGGCCCCTCCCGGCAGACACCTCCTGACCAGGGTGCGTGTCTCAGTTGCAGACCTGACCTGTCTGTCCACCTTCCTGTAGGGGAGGCTCTCCCAGGCCCTGACTTAACAGTCCTCTAGAAAATTCCTCCAAACCAGTGACCTCCCATGTCAGTAGATGGCCCCCGAAACCAGATGGGACTGTCCCTGCACATTCCCCTTCCACTCCGGCCCCTGCATACCCATTAGCTTGACCTTCAGAAATCGTCTGGAGCCCACGAACTTCCCACCCGCCTGCTCCTCTTCCCAGGGCTCATCACAGGGGTGGCCTCCCGCGCCAGACGCATTTTGTGCTCCCTCTCCCTCCCGCCCCAAGCACGGCCTTGGGTGTCTCCACTGCCCAGCCCTGTAAATACTCATTTTCTGGCTTAATGGACGGGGATGCGACCAGGGACCTGGCACGAAGGCGTTGCTGCGTGACTTGGGGAGAAGTCCTTCCTGCGCTCCAGGAGCTTCCATTGTGGGGCGCGCCG